AACTTACTAACCAGAATCTACAACATCAGGAAGATACAGCTGCAACCTAAGACTTTGAGATCAATAAAATGACTGCATGAAGTAGATAGCTTCCAGCCAAGGCTCATGAAATTAAATCTGATGAATGGAAGTACAGAGTGCCATCCTTCAGTCGGCATGCTTTTGTTCTTCATTTGCCAACCCATTTTATTTCCTCCTGGTTGCTTTAAGGTTTTGGATTGTTAACTATGATATCTATGGGATCCCTATGCTCAGTAATGCTTCTTTCATTCCTAGTCACTCCTTGGTAAAAGTCTAATGCTTAACTATATTTTCCTTATGATTTGGCTAAAACACAAAATCAAGCCAACTCTTGAATTTATATTTGCTTTCCTTTGGGTGCCGCTCATTTTCATTTATATTAGTTCCTTGTAATAAATCAGTTAATGTCCTGGGTAATTGAATTCAATCACTAAGTGACTTTTTTTGAGAATAGCACAACAGGTTAAACAGCCAGAAATCCCTTATCATATTCCCCTCCAAAGACACAATACTTGGGGACTGTGTAATAAATAATTTGGCTAGCCTTTGGCCTTAGTTCCTAGGAGATAATCTCTAAATCCTTTTAATTTCCTGAGTGATAGAGTATCTTTGTTATTCATGGTGGACCCCTCAGACCACACCTGATAGCTGAGGTGACTCAGATGGGGGGATGGCCATGCCATGTGATTACAGGATTGAGGGGTTGAGTCAGGTGATATCATCTTGAAATCTGGGAAAGAAAGGAAGCCTGGAGACTGAGCTCAATCACACAGGCAATGATTCAATCAGCCATGCCTATATAATAAAACTTCAATAGAAACTTTGGACCCTGAAGTTCAGCTGAAGTTCCCTGGTTAGCAATACTCTGAGTATTTTCACACTTTAATGCTGGAAGGGTAACATATACCTGAGAATGATAGAAGCTTCATACTTGAAATTCTCCCAGATTTCACCCTATGCATCTCTTCTCTGTTATAGCCCTTTGCCATAACAAAACTGCAATCGTAAGTATTAGTGAGGACTATTAGTGCGTTCTGTGAGTCTCCCACAGATAATTAGGAAATTACCAAACCCGAGGGTAGTCATGGGAGCCCCTCAAATTGTAGCCAACTGGTGAGAAGTGAGAGTCACCCTGGAGACCGCCAATCCTGTGGCTGGTATCTGAAGTGAAGGCAGCTTGTGAAGAGCCGTGCTCTCAAAATTTGCATGTTGACAAACTCACTGTAGGAAACTTTTGTAGGAGCTAGCCTTTGCAGCCAGTAGAATAGAGCTTGAGGAGGATTCCAAAAGAGATGGTGTACCTTTAAAGACTGTTCCGCTCTTACAGATCTTACCCAAAAGGCAACTGGTGAACTGATGGCAACCAACAGATTGGACAGAGATGTTATCTTTGTTAATTGATGCCTGCTTTCAGGAGAGGCCCTGTATCACCCAGGATTTACTTTAGCTCACAGATTCCCCTTCCCAGAACAAAAATTTATTTAAATAATTTAATTCAACAAGGAGCAAAACTGGTCTGTGATTTGAGTTCAAAACTGAAAACCAAAGCGAATTTTTTTTGGACTGCCTTCTTCTATACCCAAAACTTTTCATTTTATGCTTTCCAAAACACCTAAAAAAAATAGGAGTAATCCTACATGCTATGATTCAGAAAGTAGTAAAACTAAATAATGTGTCTAAGGCCATGGAACTTCTCCCCTAAGACTTTCACGAAATTAGGTAGATGATAGCTCAAAACAGTCATTAGACATAATATTCTCTTCTTAAAGGAGACCATGTACTATGTGAGGGAAATAATATTGTACTTACATTTTTGCAGATTTCTCTGGGGTCCTTTATATCACTAAAAAGATCTGAAAAACAAATAAAGGTATCATGAAATGAAATAATTTATATAATACCCAATATCTGGTTCTGTGCACTCTTTATAGTTGCAATGGAATCTGTTTTCTTAATTTAGTTTGGATATGTTTACCCAAATCAGATTGGCATTGGTTTGTGTTGCAATGTACAAACGGAGAACTCCAGAATCTTAAATGCTGCTGTGCAGTCATTGTGCATCCTGATGATCTTCTACCAAGAAGAACAAGAAAAGTTGACACTCGTGGAGGTTGGAATGACTACCTCAGAAAACACACTCAACCACATCCTCAAACATGGTGTAGATCTGGACTGATGATGTCCCCAAGTGATAAGTGGTCTTGCCAATTAGCCTGCAGAATGATAAAAGGGGAAACTGGGAATTTAATCTAACATAAATTCTCAAGTCCCTGTGTTAAGTAATAACAAAGTAAAATATTAGCTGCTGGTTGGGGAATATAATGCGAATTGACTAAAAAGCTTACTTATCAAAACTGCTAGCCCATCAAGACTCACTTTAAGGGGAACCTTAATCAGTTGGTTAATCATCTGCCTTTGGCTTAGGTCATGATCTCAGGGTCTGGGGATGGAGCTGTGTCTGGCTCCCTGCTCAGCAGGGAGTCTGCTTCTCCCTCTCCCTTTGCCCCTCCCCTCCATGCCCTGTGGGGGGCCCCCCCTGCTGTCTCCTCTCAAATAAATAAATAAAATCTTTAAAAAAAAACCCTCATTTTAAGATTCTTGTTTCACTGAGCCCACTGATCCAAAACTATTGTATCATAAATTCTGCTCATTCCCTTGCAAGACCTGCCTTAAAATCATGCAGGCGCTAAGTGTCTTTTACCTTTCCCCAGTTTCCTCATTTTGAGGCACTCCTTAGACTCTGTCATGATGTTTTCCCTTAAACAAAAGTAAATTTAGTTTTTTTGATTAACAAAAAAGGTTGTGTGTGTGTGTGTGTGTGTGTTAGAGGAAGTCAACACTTGATACCGGCAATAAACAAGTAAGTAAAAAAATACACTGCATGCCAGATAGGCTTAAGTGCTATGAAAAAAAAAAAAAAGCCAAGGAAGTGGGAAGGAAAGTACATGTGGGTGATGGGTAGATGCTGTTATTCCAATTTTAGATTAGGTAATCAAGGAAGGCCTCCCTGAATGGATGACGTTTGATCAAAGACCCGTAGGTGGTGAGAGAGCAAGCATATAGCTGTTTAGGGAAAGAGCATTCCAGAAAGAAGGAATAGCAATTGCAAAGAGTGTAAAGCAGGAGCTTGCAGGGCATGTTGAAGAAATGACAAGCAAGCCATTATGGCTAAAGCAGAGAGTGAACAGGGACGCCGGGGTGGCTCAGTCAGTTGAGCGTCTGCTTTTGGCTCAGTCATGATCTCACAGTACTGGGATCGAGCCCCAAGTTGGGCTCCCTGCTCAGTGGGGAGTCTGCTTCTCCCTCTCCTGCTGCCCCTTCACTTCCACTCATGCTCAAGTGCTCTCTCCCTCTCAAATAAATTAAAAAAAAAAAAGAAGAAGAAGAGAGTAAACAGCAGAGAGGTGGGATATGTGAATAAAAGGCAATAGGAGGGAAATAGGTTGTATAGGACCTTTTCTCTAAATGAGACGGGAAACCATTCAGGGGGAACTTTAGAATTCATTTATCAAAGAGGTACATGAAATGTATAGATTACTTAGGGGATAATTGACATTTTTATGACATTGAGTCTTCCCATCCAGGAAGATGTCATATCTCTCCACTTAGCCTAGACTCTCTTTTATGTACTTCAATAAACCTTAATATTTCTTGTCCTATGAATCTTTTAAATTCTTATTAAGTTTATTACTTGGGTTTTAAAGGTTTATTTTTGTTTGGCTTGGTTTTTCACTGTTGTAAATGGGATTCCGCCCCCCATTACATCCTCTAACTGTACCACCTCTCAATCATGACTTTTACTCTAAATTCAATCACTATCCTGACCTCTATCAAACAGGTTAGTTTTGCCTATTTTATAAATATATTGTATTTATATATTATATTTTATATTCAAGTGATTAATATATTCATCATATAAATATAATCATATGAATATATAAATATAACAGTTATATGTATGATCTATATACGTATAGATCATATATCATGCATCATAATCATATGAATATATAAATATAATATATATGGAAAAACTATTAACTTTTAATATATTCCTCTTATAGTTACCTTAAGATAGTTCAAAATTAATGCTAATATCCATTTAGTTCATTCTCTTGGAATATTTTGGTAATAATTATATTGCCTCTGAATAATGGCAATTTTTTAAAACTCGGCTCTGTACCCAATGTGGGGCTTGAACTCACAACCCCAAAATCAAGAGTCACGTGCTCTACCACCTAAGCCAGCCAGGCACCCCAGACAATTTTTTCTCTTCAGTCTTGATGGTTATAACTCACTTGTGTTACCTTGTTTACTACATTGGATAGAATTCTCAGAAAATTTCTTTTTTTTTAAATTTTTTTAAAGATTTTATTTATTTATTTGACAGAGAGAGACACAGCGAGAGAGGGAACACAAGCAGGGAGAGTGGGGGGGGGAGAAGCAGGCTTCCCACTGAGCAGGGAGCCCGATGTGGGGCTGGATCCCAGGATCCTGGGATCATGACCTGAGCCGAAGGCAAGCGCTTAACGACTGAGCCACCCAGGCGCCCCAAATTCTCAGAAAATTTCTGAATAAAAGGGACAACAACATTTATATTATTTGTGACATTAATGTGAAATAATTCTTTTTTTTTAAAGATTTTATTTATTTGAGGGGGGGAGAATACAAGCAGGAGGAGAGGCAGAGGGAGAAGCGGACTCCCCGTTGAGCAGGGAGCCCGATGCAGGGCTTGATCCCAGGGCTCTGAGATCATGACCTGAGCTGAAGGCAGACGCTTAACCGACTGAGCCACTCAGGCACCCCTAATGTGAAATAATTCTTACATTTACTCCCTTTAAATATAATTTTGACTGATTATGTATTAGAAATTATTTTTACATTAAGAAATTCTCTTTCTCTTACTAATTTCCTATTTTTTAAATCCAAAAGCCTATTTTTGCATTGGTAGTGAGCAATATAAGTGGTTTTTTTTTTCATGTCAGACAGGTAATGTGCCAATGTCACAACAAGGTTTGAGGGAGGCAAAAGTCACACAACAGTGCGAACACTGAATCATCATGCTTATGAACTACAAAAGGATTTGTAGCAGTATATTAAACAAGCAAAATAGTGAGATGTAATAAAAATGCACCTATATGTTGTTTCTCATGGTCCCTTTAAAATGTATTCAGTGGGCAAGGTTTATTCCATCCTCCTGAATAAAACTCAAGTTTGACTTTTCTGATCTCTCTTCGATAATTGGAAGTCCAAACATCATCATAAGAGGCCAGTCTATTTTCAATTCAGTAATTAGAATGTCTTGTCCAATATATGAATCAATCTATATTAACAATTTAATCTGCATGCAAAGGTTAAGATTTCCCCACCCACACACCTTTAGGTAGGGCCTGGTTTCAGGTGGGATGCTTGCTTTTATGGAAAACATAGTGAATTTCTTCTTTTCTCATTTACTACTTAGGGGAAGGAGGTAAAAAGGAGCAGACAATTCATACTTAACTTCTATCATAAGATGATTTCATATGCTTTGGGTCTAGGAAATTTGTGTTTGTAATTTTTTAAATTAAAATATTACACATAATACACCTCAGTGGAATTTTACAAAATGAGAACATCCATGTACTTAGCTCCCAGATCAAAAAACTCAATATTACCAGACCCCAGAACTCTCCCTTACACCACCTCTTAATCACTATGCTTACCTCTATCAATATAGGTTAGTTTTGCCTATTTTTTTTTTTACCTTTCCATAAATGGAATTATACGGAATATACTATTTTATATCTGGTTTCTTTCACTCAATGTGTGTGAGATTTATCCATGTGATTAAATGATTCAGCAAGCCATTCTTTAATGTATTGCTGGATAATACTCTATTGTATGAATATATCACATTTATCCATTCCACTGTTGATAGACATTTAGAAAGCTTTCAGTTTGGGCTAATATGAAAAATTCTGCTATGAACATCTTGTACATGTCTTTGATATATATATGTATACATTTCTGTCAAACTAATTATGGGAGGTAGGATTGGAATTGCTGGGTCCAAAGGTTCAGTAAATGTTTAAAGCTGTCTTCTTCTGTGTTGAAGACTTCTGTGGATTCTTCTGAGGTTTCTTGGTGGTATTCTCCACCTACTACTCCTATGACATGGGCAAAAGGATTTCTGTCTCCTGCTCTCCATCTTCTGATTTTCCAACGGTACTCCTCATCATCTCTTTCTTGGAAGCTCATTGCCCTTTGCATGAGTCTTCTTTTTTCTTTTTTTAATATTTTATTTATTTATTTGAGAGAGAGCACACACACAAGCAGGGGGTAGCAGCAGAGAGAGAAGGAGAAGCAGGTAACCCATCAAGCAGGGAGCCTGATGCGGGGCTCGATCCCAGGACCCCAGGATCATGACCTGAGCCAAAGGCAGATGCTTAACTGACTGAGCCACCCAGCACTCCTGCATCAGTCTTCTTGGTCAGAAGTCAACAGGGCTCCAGGCTGCCCTACCCTCCATGTTCCCCCACCACTGGAGATGTATATCAAGTTCCCCAAGAGGTCTTCTTAAAGCCCTTGACTGGAGAGCTGGGAGGAACATTTTACCTCTGTTGCTTGGTGATCTGGGACACAAAATATATCATAAATTTTCTCGAAAGAAATCTCTTCAAACTTGTCCTTGAGTCCCCCCACATCTGAACATTTTTAATGTTCTTAGAGTTGGTATGGGGTCCAAGATGGGTTACTATTCCTTTGAAAATCTGCATATTGGTCTGTCTCATGACTCATTTTGTTTTTTGGGTTTTTTTTTTTTCCTTGTACGTACAAATCTTTTATTGGCTATCAGTCCACATCACTATGTGCATTGGAAAACAACCTCAAGGGGAAGGACTTTTAATAATGTTGCTCATTATTCTTGTAAATGTTTAAAATTAATTTTGTCAGGGGTGCCTGGCTGCCTCAGTTGGTAGTGCAGGCAACTCTTGATCTCAGGATTGTGGGTTTGAGCCCCACGTTGTGTGTAGAGATCACCTAAAAATAAAATCTTAAAAAAAATTAACTTAATTTAATTAATTAATTAATTTTATCAATGGGTGCCAGGCTGGCTCAGTAGGTAGAGCATGCAACTCTGATCTCGGGGTTGTAAGTTCAAGCCCTATGTTGAGTGTAGAGATTACTTAAAAATAAAAAAAAAAAAACAACTTTCGGGGCACCTGGGTAGCTCAGTCGTTTAAGTGTCTGCCTACAGCTCAGGTCGTGATCCCGGGGTCCTGCGATGGAGTCCTGGGATGGAGCCCCACGTCGGACTCTCTGGTCAGGGAGGAGCCTGCTTCTCCCTCTCCCTCTGTCACTACCCCTGCTTGTGCCTGTTCTCTCTCTCGCTCTCAAATTAATAAGTAAAATCTTTAAAAAAATAAAAATAAAAATAAATAAAAATTTTAAATGAAAAAAATTTTTTAGATAAATAAGTAAAATTAATTTTATCAAGTAATTAATAAGAAAGCTTCCCTCTCTTGTGAAAGATGTTGTATTTCTTTTGTTTAATTTATTGTATTTTTTTTTAGTTGACACACAATATTACATTAGTTTCAGGTATACAACATAATGCTTCAACAAGTTTCTACATTATGCTCTGCTCACAAGTGTAGCTACCCTCTATCACATACAATGCTATTATAATATCAATGACTATATTCCTTATGCTGTTCCTTTTATTTTATTTAAAGATTAATTTATTTATTTGGGAGAAAGATAGAATGCATGTGCGTGTGGGTGGGGGGCAGGGACAGAGTGGGAGAATCTGCAGCTACTTCCCGCCTAGTGCAGAGCTCAGCCTCGGGCTCAATCCCACAACCCATGAGATCATGACCTGAGTCAAAATCAAAGAGTCAGACACTTAACTGACTGAGCCACCCAGGCGCCCCTGTAGTCAACAGAATCTTAAGCTAGATATTTCAAGCAGAAAGGTATTTATTATATTTAATGCAAGAGCTTACTGAGTAACCGAGGGGCTGAAGGAAAAGGTGAGTGTAAGAGACAGTAACCTGGTGGCCTGTAATGAAACATGCGTGCCTCTTGGTGTCCAACCCTTGTGGATACCTCATCCCTTAAAACTGGACTGGCTCTAGGACTTGTTTTAACCAATAAAATCTGTGAAGTGACACTGCACCAGCTCTGGTCCTAAATCTTTAGGAAGACCTGGCATCATTTGCTCTTGCACTCTGGAGAAACTCTCTGCCTCTAAGAAGTCCTGCTACCCTAGGGGAGAAACCAGTTGCAGAAACTACATGGACGAGTGGAGGCACAGGACTAAATAGGGAAGACCTGAGGAGGAACCCAGCCAATTGTGAGAACCAAAGCCACAGACATATGACCCATATTGAACTCTTCCAGCCAGCCTCCAGTTATTTGAGTTACTCTAACCAAGGCACCAGACAAGTAAGTGAAGAAGCCATCTTGGATGGCTCAGCCCCTGCAGGCACCACATGGAGCAATTATGGAGTATTCCCTCTGTGGCCTGTTCAAATTTTTTGACTCACAGAATTAGGAGAAATAGTAACATAGTTACTCTTTGAAGCCCCTACGGTTTTGAAGTAGTTTGTTACACAGCAATAAATAACCAGAAAAAGCTCCCAAACTCTGAGGGAAAAAAAAAAACCTTCCAAAGTCATGTGTGTTATTCTTATATTCTGCCCATACCCCACTCCATTTCTCATCATAACTCCTATAAAAATTAAGAGCAAGTGTCAGGGTCACCTGGGTGGCTAAATCGGTTAAGTGTCTGCCTTTCGCTCAGGTCGTGATCCTGGGGTCCTGGGATCGAGCCCCACATCGGGCTCCTTGCTCAGCGGGGAGTCTGCTTCTCCCTCTCCCTCTCCCTCTGTCCCTCCAGCTTGTGTTGTCTCTCTCTCTGTCAGATAAATAAATAAAATCTTAAAAAAAAAAAGAGCAAATATCAGAAGCAAGCTGCAAGAGCACTTAGAAGGAGCAGACATAGGTAGTTCTGCAAAAGGGTGGAGATTTGGGCAAAGTTTTAAGGTTCTTTACAGGCTCCAGAACAGCCAAACCTTTCTTTCACCTTCTACAGGTAGTTTATTTTGTCTCTGGTTTTATTTTATTTTTATTTTATCTTATTTTATTTTATTTGTCTCTGGTTTTAGAAATCATCCTAAGTTTGTACTTACTTCCATTTTTCAAAGCAGACTTACTGAGATTTATTTTACATGCCATCAAATTGGCCATTGGAGGTACAATTAAATTGGCTTCTCTGTTTGTTTGTAAATTTATAGAGTTGGGCAACCAAAATCACAATCTGATCTGCTCCTTATTTCTGTAGATTTACCATTTATTGACATTTCACATAAATGGAATCATACCATATCCACTTTTAAAAGAAAAAGGATCTGTATTTGTTTTTACATAAATAATATATGCTTGTTCTTAAAACTTCAAAAAAGAAAAAGAAAAAAATATTTTAAAAAAACCCCTCTAACCCCACTACCAGGAGCTAATGACAGTTAACATATGGGTATACATAAAAAAGAGACAGTAAAGTTGAAACCTTTAATTGTGGCCTACAGGCCCTGCATGATCTGGAGTCTTTCAACATCAGCTAATGCCTTGTTCCCACCCATCTCTGTACACTCCAGCCAAACAGGTTTTATTTCAGTTTCAAGAATACACTAAGCTCTTTGCACATGCTATTTATCTTGCCTGGAACGCTTCCTTCACCCTTGGAATTGAGTAGCTCTTTCGCCTCCTTTGAGGAACTATTTAGACCTTATCTCTATAGAAAGGTCATCCCTGATTACCTTGCCTAAATTAGTCCCAAACTCAACTTCCTTTTCATATGTTCTCTTCATACCACCTGATTCGATCTGAAATTTATTCATTTGCCTGCTTTTATTTTTGTTTATTTATCTCCTCCATTTGATTGTAAATTTCATGAGGGCAGAATGGCCAATATCAAATATGTTTAGTGCTATATCCCGAACACCTCTCACCAAACAGATTAAATATTAGTGGAATGAATGAATTAAATAAAACCCATTATCCTCTCTGTGCCTCAGTTTCCTCATCAAAAATGGGAAAAAA